GGTTTGGGACACCTTATACACTTCTTCCACCTTTCTACACTGGTTTACAAACCGACTGAACTCTCGGATGTCACAATTTGACATCTTCCGAGACATCTTCTCATTAAGACCCCATTGGAACTTGGAGGTCATTTCAGCCGGGGTGGGTAAGGCTCGCCCATAGTTGGCGTATTTCACCAACTCATTGAATTTTGAGAAGTATTGGTCAATAGACATCGACCCTTGTTTGAGATCGTTATACTCATTCTGCTTTTGTTCCCTAGCCTCTCTAGGGAAGTAGTTATCCAAGAACAATGTCTCGAATAACCGCCATGTGATCTCCCGACCTTCAGCTTCTAATGGCTGCACGGTATTTGTCCACCAATCTTCTGCTTCCTCTTCCAGCATATAAACAGAGTAAGCCAACTTCATTGCGTCAGGGCACCTCATCACCCTGAATATCTTCTCCATCGCTTGGAGCCATTTTGCAGCCGCCATTGGCTCATAACCTCCCTTAAAAGAAGGAGGTTTATGTTTTCGGAAAGCCATCAGTCTCCTTTCCTCCATTTCATGATCATCGACATTTTCAACTTGAGGTTGACGAACCTCAGTGTGATGACTCCGACTTCCGGAGTGGTGACTACCTTCACCCTCATTGTTACCCACTCCATCCTCTTCCTGTGAAGGAGGTGGAGAAGGCGTAGCAGTGTGAGGAGGAGGAGTGGGTTGCCGGTTCACGGGCCTAGGACCCCTCAACGTCCTCAGCTCAGTCATCATTGCGGCCATGGCAGTCCGCGAGTCTTCATTTGTTTTCATCAGATTTTCATTGGCTTGCCTGCTAGCAGCCAACTCTCTCTGAACAGCTGCAAGAGCTTCAGCCACGGGATCAGGCGGTACGCCCGTTGCCCCACGGCCACTTCTAGGCCTCACAAGAGCAGCCAAAACAGGTTCTGGCTGAGCATTGGTGTTTGATGGTCCGGGGTTGTTTCGGTTCCTCGTCATGTCACTACACATGTTACACAAAGAAGTGAGTTGATCAGGCCCACACTTAGTGATCACAAATGCAATAATCATACAGAGTACTAAAACAACTATAAAGCATCAAACACTAAGCATACTCAACAATAGCTAACAGTTATTCCCGACGAAACTGCTCTATACCATAAAATGTAACACCCCGTTCTAGAACCGGTTTGTTAACATCGCATTATGATATTAAGCGCAGTTACAATCACATGGGTTCAATTAAAATCCGGATAAATTTTTCATTTTAAAACGTACCGAACTTATAATACCCAATTTCGTGATCATAACCATATTACCTTGCGGAAGCAGATAAATTAAGCTTAACATCATGTTCATTTCCCATTTTTAAACCATTAATTTACTTCTTGTTTAATTCAATACTTCTACTATATTGTAGGTTTCTTCATTAGCTACCCGTGGCTTCAAACCGTGCTCAATCGGAGCACTGTAGTCCAAGTTAGGACAATTTGAAGCAACACAAGAGAGTGTTGGTCACAGGCCCAGCGCGCTTCAGCGCGCTATCGGGCGCTCAAGCGCGCGCTATCGGGCGCTAAAGCCTCCATCTGGGCGCTTAAGCGCACGGAGGCAGTAAGCATCAGGCATTCCAGTGTGGATGGGCGCTTAAGCGCGCGACAGGGCGCTCAGGCGCGCTATCCTGGGCGCTCAAGCTCCCACGGGGACGTTTTAGCGCGCAGAGACAGAAGCATCTCCTCCTTCAGTGGCGAAGGACGCTTAAGCGCGGACCAGGGCGCTCAAGCGCGCAACCCTGGGCGCTTAAGCCCCACCCTGGGCGCTAAAACACGAGGGGGCAGTAAGCCACCCAACTTTCTGCAGCAAAGGGCGCTTAAGCGCACGCCAGGGCGCTCCAGCGCGCAATCCTGGGCGCTTAAGCCCCCACTTGGGCGCTCCAGCGCAAGGAGGCAGAATGCATTGGCACTCGCAGGGGCAGCAGGGCGCTTGGGCGCGCTCCTGCGCGCTTAAGCGCGCTGCCAGGGAATTCCAATTCCCTCATTTCTCAAGTCCAAGCCTAGGGGAAAATGCATCCCCATTACAAACCCCAAATGTCCATGCCCCAAAACTAAATCCTAGCACTCATCCAACCTCTCCTCATGAGATTTAGCTAGAATTTGGGCAGCATGACCTTTGTTTTCTCATCGTTTACCAGTTTAAACGAAGAGGGTACCTAATTGATTTTCAGCCCAACCAATTCAACAACTCAATACATAACAAGCATGCATATATTGAATTCCAAGTAGGCATCATTTACATTACATATCCTTTACAAATCATAGAACTTAGCTTACAAAACACTATGATCATTCCCTTGGCTCCCATCAACAAAAGGTGTAACCAAAGGCATGAGCATAGGCTAAGTTCATCCAATGAATCAAGATATACAAATGATCATGGGCTTTCAAAATAAAATCCTATACATGTCAACTACAAAAGGCATGCGTAAACTCAAAGAAGTGCCATATTTCATGCATAATCTAGGTATGGCCACTTGCCACCAGAGGCTCCTGCAGCATCCTTACCTGAAAGGGGGTCCCCACAACACGGGGTGAGATATACGAATATATCCAGTAAACCAGGGGTCCTTGGAGCATCTCTCCACCCCACAGTTCCATACCAGTGTAATAGCAATAACAATAATAACGCAGTAAATACATATCTATGCAAAGTGCAATACATCTCCAGGAGAAATCCCTCGAGCTCTCAAGCCGTCCTAAGGAAACTCAGATGCAAATAGTCCTACTGGCCAGCTAACTACCAAGTATGATTTACGCATCGTCATGCCACATACCAACATAGGGAAACACCATCCTATGCCACACCAAATGCATACACATACGTATAACAAAGCATTACACTATTTTATTGCATTTATATACACAATCACAACCTCCACCCTTTCAGGGCTTGGTAGAACAGTCAAGGGAATTACACCCAAGGTCCGAAGGCTTACCTCAATGCTTCAGTCAACCTTTGTTCTTCACCAACAGTTTCAGCAATCAACTTTTACAAACATACACCTACACATGGTGTAATGCAATCAACACATATTGCATCCAATAACATCTCATAGCTATCAACCAAGCTATACAATTCATACCAAACATAAGCATGAACTCACCTATCCAATGGAGCTAATCAAGCTCCATAGCTTGCTCCAATGGTTGATCACTCACGGTTGGTCCAAATGTCTCAATCCTAGACATCACAAGGACACAATCAATCATTCATCTCACTAATTGTTCAACATGCTAGAATACCAACCAATCCAAGTATGAATTTTCCAATGTTATGAACAATTACCAAATGACTATCTAGGCTCATTTCCACCGATTAAATGACGTTCCTAGCATTTTTCACAACATGCTCTAAGCTTAAATCTTCCTAGAACATAGTCAATTCAACTACATTTCACCAAAATCCCAATTTACTATTCATAAACCCTAACTCATGCAAAATTTCAAGGAATCATGAGGTTCAAGGGTTAGAATCTTACCACCAATGGTCACACAACCAAGGATTGATGGCTCCTCAAGCTTCAATGGAGGTAGAAACTCTCAAAACCCCAATTTTCACCAAAGGGCCGAATTTTTGAGAGGTAATATCTCTCTCCACAATGCTCCCCACTCAAAACAAAGCTAGGATTATGAAAGAGGGCGAGATTCTAAGCGATTTAGGCTTTTGAATCACCCAAAACCGTTGGGATTTGCTCTCTCTCTCTCTCTCCCTTTTCTTCTTCCCTCTCTTCTCCCTCTCTTCTCTTCTCCTTTCTGGTTCGACGGGTTGGGTGGGAAATGAGGGGTTCTTTTTGGTGTTTTACCACTTAACATTGGTTAAGTGGTAACACGTGGGTATTGGTTCGTCTATCTATTCAACTCCAATAATTACCAAACTTTACCCAAAAGTCTGGAATATTATTCTAGGAATATTACTATTTTTATTTTTATATTTTGGGTACTTTTGACAGTACCCATTTATATCCCTTAATTTTCACTGAGTACACTTTTTAACTCCAAAGTGACTCAGATTCAATTTTATTAAGCCTCGTACTTAATTTCACCCAGTAAAACATGTTTAATTAATTAATTACACTTGATTTCCTAATTAATTAATATGGGCTATTACAGGGAACTCCAAGATGGTAAGGAAATAGCAGTTAAAAGGAAAAAGAAAGAATGATAGGAAGGCAATCATGACTCTTAAGAATACAGTAGTGGCGAAGAATATAGGATTCATCTAGAAAAAGGAAAAAGAAAGAATGACAGGAAAGCAATCATGACTTGTAAGAATGCAGTAGTGACAAAGAATGACAGGAAAGCAAGCATGACTTGTAAGAATATAGGATTCAAGCATGACTTGTAAGAATGCATTAGTGGGAAATAAAAAAGAATGATAGGAATGCAAGCATGACTTGTAAGAATGAATTAGTGGCAAAGAATATACGATTCATCCAGAAAAAGAAAACAAAAAGAATGACAGGAAAGCAAGCATGACTTATAAGAATGCTGTAGTGGCAAAGAATATACGATTCTTCTAGTAAAAGAAAAAAGAAACAAGAAAGAATGACAAGAAAAGCAAGCATGACTTGTAGGAACGCAGTAGTGGCAAAGAATATAGGATTCATCTAAAAGAAGGGAAAAGAAAGAATGACAGGAAAGCAATCAAGACAATGCAATAGTGGCAAAGAATATAGGATGAATTTGCTTACAAGCAAAATAAAATGTTGATTTGCTTATAAAAGATGCTAATCAGATAGCTATTCAGGGACAACAATCATCTTCCTGTATTGTTCTCTATCCCTTGAGTTTGTGCTTTACTTACCCCTCTTATACAGAAATGGCCGATACTGCCGTTAGCTTCTTGCTACAGAACTTGGAACGGCTCCTAGAAGATGAATTTAAGTTACTTTCTGGCGTAGAAGACAAAATCGTTTCCCTTACTAAAGAGCTTGAGTTTATTGACTCATTCCTCAAGAGCTCCGAGGGGAAGCGCAATGACGATTCTGTGAAACTATTGGTGAGCCAAATAAGAGATGTTGCCTATCATGCTGAGGATGTGGTAGACACCTACACTGGCAATGTCAGCAAACACAGAAGAAGAAACGTGTTTCAAAAGTTATTCCACTGCCCACGATGTTGGTGATCAGATAAAGAAGATCAGGAGCCTTATTGATGAAATCTATAAGAACAAAGAGAGATACGGTATTGGAAAAGGTGAATTTAAGAGTGAAGAAGAAGAAAAAATAAGAGAATCACTCCGCAAAAGGAGGATGGATGTGGAGGAAGAACATGTTGTGGGCTTTGAGCATGACTCCAGCATTTTAATGAAGCAGCTCATGGAAACAAATTCAAACCTTAAAGTTGTTTCCATAATTGGTATGGGTGGGTTGGGCAAGACCACATTGGCCAGAAAGATCTACAACAACACTGAGGTGAAGGAGTTGTTTCCTTGCCGCTGCTAGGGTTATGTGTCTAACGATTACAGACCCATGGAGTTCTTGCTTAGCCTTTTCAAGTGTTTCATATCATCCACATCTGAATATAGTAATTTAAAAGAAAAGGAACTGAAGACGAAGGTGAGAGAATGCTTGAAGGGAAACAAGTATCTGACAGTGCTTGACGACATTTGGAAAACTCAAGTTTGGGATGAGATAGAAGATGTCTTTCCAGATGACAAAAACGGTAGCAGAATACTGATAACGAGTCGTATAGAGGAGGTGGCTTTTCATTGTGGAACTACCACTCCTCATTACCTTCCATTCCTCAATAAAGAAGAAAGTTGGGAACTTTTTTCCAAGAAGGTGTTTCAAGGTGAAGAGTGCCCTTCTGATCTAGAGCCTCTTGGTAGGTCGATTGCTGAAAGTTGTGGCGGTTTGCCACTTGGCGTAGTCGTCTTAGCAGGAATTGCTAGAAGGAAAAAGAGTTTAAAAAATTGGGAGAGCATGATGGATATCATTTGGCCTCTCTCTGAAGACAAGACTAATGTTATGGGTATATTGAAGCTTAGCTACGACAACTTGCCCAGAAGATTAAAGCCATGCTTTCTGTATTTTGCAATCTATCCTGAAGACTATGAAATCAGTGCGAGGAAATTGATGCAATTATGGGCTGCAGAAGGATTCATACAACCAAAAGAAACTGGAAACCCAAATCCACCACAAGTAGAGGATATTGCTGAATACTATTTGGATGAGCTGGTGGACCGTAGCTTGGTGCAAGTGGCAAGAAGGAGGAAGATTGATGGAGGTGTCAAAACATGTCGGATTCACGATCTTCTCCGTGAGCTCTGCATATCTGAGAGAAAATCTAACGGGTTTTTGGAGGTTTCCACAGAGGCGAACATGCATACACTGAGCAATCCCCGTAGATTGTCTTTGCACTTGCACGGGAGAGCAGAGTCTGATCTCTCTTTTGACAAATTTAATCAATCATCCACTCGTTCCTTGTATTTCTTTTCTGAAGGGAGATACCAACTTGATCATGTTATGAAGAACTTCAAGTTGGCTCGAGTGCTATATGGTGAAGAAATAGTGTTTTCTTCACAATTCGCTGGTTTGAAGATGATGATCAATCTGAGATACTTGAAAGTAAGTACATATTTCAGAGATATTCCAGCTTCTATAAGCAGCCTTCGGAATCTAGAAACACTACATTTAAATCGACTATTTTCCATTTACATTGGAATACAGAGTGATCTTTTTACGGGAATGAGAAGGTGTATAGAGCTGTCAAGCCTAACCAATCTCCGTTCCATAAAATTAATCGGCTTTGATAGTCTTCCATTGGAGTTTCCTTCAAATGTTGTGAAGATAACATTGCAAGTTACACCTGCTCCTTTCTACTGGAAGAGTATCATGAATACTTTGGGACGGCTTACCAACCTCCAAATTTTAAAACTAGTACATTTTGATTATATTCATGAGCTCATTTTTGCTTCTGGTGAGTTCCCACGGCTTCGAGAGTTTCAGATGAGGGAAGTAGATGTCAAAAAGTGGAGATTAGAGAAAGGTGCAATGCCTAATATTGAATATTTGCACATCTATAGGTGCACATACTTGTATGAGCTTCCTGAAGAACTCTGGTCCTTGACTCACTTACGACAGGTGCGAGTAGATTTTCCCAAGAAAGAATTGGAAAACAGCCTCCAAAATGTGGAGTTGAAGAATGGTTGTAAGTTAATATTATCTTATTCTCATAATTGATGGAAGATAATATGGTTACCTTAATGGGGAGCTATTGCTTCATTTATGAAAGAGGTACGTCACTTATATAAGCGCTACATTTCCATTTTTAATCTCGCTTCTTCTTGTCTAATATCTTTTTCCTTCTTTGTTCTTTTGTTGTGCTTGTAACTTCATTTATTGGTTGATTGTATAAGGCTTTTATTTTATTTTTATTTTTATTTCAGGTGCTTTCCATTCATAGTATCCAAAACTCATTGGGTACAGTCCTGCCACAACCTATTTGATGAAATGTATAACTTCGAAATAATTTGTGATTCCTTTACATCTTTGTATTCACTTTTCTGTTCTCTTTTTCCTGAGTGGTCAAATACTTCAGTTAGCTAGACATGCAACATTCTGTTTGCTTTGTTGTATATATATGTATTTAATTTTTTATGTCATAATGTTATTAAGACTTTCTAGAACATCCGGACAAGGTCTAGAAGAATTCATGAATGAAGTTGTGGTCATTTGTAAGCTTGTAAAACTTCTTGGCTGCTGTATTGAAGGAGAGGAAAATATGTTAATATATGAGTACATGCCAAATAAAAGTTCCGATGCATTTCTCTTTGGTTATTTTTAACACTCCTTTAGCATTTGTCTTATATTCAATACAAAGCTTGAAAAGTTTACCTTTATCCATCATATATATGAAATGTTTTATAACAATGAATAATTGCTTTACAGCCACTGATGTCTTGAAAGTATACTAATTCAAAATAATATAATTCTATCTTCTGATTTTTTTAAATCCATTTAAAGATAAAATCCTAGATCGGAGAAAACGCTTTCGCGTCCTTAGATAGAAACTTTCTCACTCCTTCTATGCCTCTTGTTTCTCTCTTTAATTTTTAAGATTTTTTGTATGTGTCTGGACAAAATTTTGTGACAGTCCAATGTTAGGTGAATTAGTTAGTTAGTAGAAGAAGGGAAAGAGTTCTCTGTTAGAGAAGATACAAAGTCAGTTAGTGTAACACCCCGTTCTAGAACCGGTTTGTTAACATCGCATTATGATATTAAGCGCAGTTACAATCACATGGTTTCAATTAAAATCCGGATAAATTTTTCATTTTAAAACATGCCGAATTTATAATACTCAATTTCGTGATCATAACCGAATTACCTTGCGGAATCAGATAAATTAAGCTTAACATCATGTTCTTATTCTATTTTAAAACCATTAATTTATTCTTATTTATTTCACAACTTCTACTATATTATAGGTTTCTTCATTAGCTATGCGTGGCTTCAAACCGCGCTCAAATCGGAGCACTGTAGCCCAAGTTAGGACAATTTGAAGCAACACAAGAGAGTGTTGGTCACAGGCCCCGCGCGCTTCAGCGCGCTACCGGGCGCTCAAGCGCGCGCTATCGGGCGCTAAAGCCTCCATCTGGGCGCTTAAGCGCACGGAGGCAGGAAGCATCAGGTATTTCAGTGTGGATGGGCGCTTCAGCGCGCATCAGGGCGCTCAAGCGCGCTATCCTGGGCGCTCAAGCTCTCATTGGGACGTTTTAGCGCACAGAGACAGAAGCATCTCCTCCTTCAGTGGCTAAGGGCGCTCAAGCGCGGACCAGGGCGCTCAAGCGCGCAACCCTGGGCGCTTAAGCCCCACCCTGGGCGCTAAAACACGAGGGGACAGTAAGCATCCTATCTTTCAGCAGCATAGGGCGCTTAAGCGCAAGTGTAACATCCCCGTCTCGAGCCGGTTCAATTAACATACATATGATACAAACAGAAACAGCGGAAGACTTAACTTACAAAAATATGAGCTAACTTTTTCTTTTTCTAACTTAATTCTTACTCGGCGTAAACGAAAATCGGGCAGAGTTTCCTCTATAAATCGGACAACTGGGGATTTTCCAATCCCACTCAGAAGCATTTCCTGATAAACAGTTTATACAACATATCAATTCAGAAATACCAGATATCCAAATATAATCAAATACCCATACATGGGCGCATGCATAACATGGCTCCGTGCCACTAAATCTACCAGCATGCCATCAAAACATAAACCTATCTGAATACTACATCATCATATAACGTTCCTGAATACTCAAATGTACATGCATCAAACTGATAGACATGTACAAAACATATACAGGCCATATACAAAATAAAGGATCAACATCATGATCCATCAAATGCGAAAATACTAGAATACATCAAACACTCCAAAAAGGTAGTAGCCTACAGCCACTCAAAATTCGGTCTGTCAACTGCCTCAGCCACGTGTCGTGTCCCTGCCTAGTGAGGACTCACCGGAAATCTGGGCACCTGAAAATGTGTCCCCAAAGAGGGGTGAGATTACAAATCTCAATAAGCTCCAGGTTTATAGAGAATTCTCCATACCCCTGGCTCACTCCTGCATGAAAGTCAGATACAGAGTATACAAATACAACATATAACAGATATCATAACAGAACAGAGCATATATCCATATCATATCAGAGATGTGCGCCGTCATTCCCAAGGGAGGACCCCAAGCGGAAATCAACGCACGTGTTCCCGAGGGAGGACCCCAAAGCGGAACCAGACATATCAGAGGAGTACACCATCAGTCCCGAGGGAGGACCCCAAAGCGGACGTCCGGGTACTATACAATCAATGGCCAGAGATTGTTACAGAAATCAAATTACAGAAGTCACATCAGAGCAAAACATATCATGTTATCAAATAACTCTATATGAATGCATCTATACAAAGCATCTAAATCACAGTCATACAGTCCAACCATAGTTCACTAACCATGGTGGAGCACTCAAGCAGGAAAAAACTCCTTAAACATAGAGCTTACCTCTTGAAGCTTTACCAATACCCTTACTTGTTGCACAAGTTACTTATATATCTTCAAGAGATTCTGATTCCTTTTTAGTCCCTAGGTACACCTAGAGCAAGAATCCACAAATACCAATTAATAAAATGCCATCATGCCTAGCTTTCACATAAGGCACACATTTTATCGCTTCTTTTCATTTCTTTGCATTTTTGCCAATCCTATGCCAATACACAAGTCTAGACCTCTTTATAACCGTTGGTGTTCTTTAATTTAATCATCCATTCCCTTACGAATTTCCAACATAAATCATAACATTTTACTTTAAAGGACCGTGAGCCTAAAATTAGGAAATCAATATATTTTTCCATGATTTCTTTTCAAACCATTTCACTTCATGCCTTATCATTTTCATACTTTGAAACACACATATTTTATTAAAATAAAATATGACAACATCTTTCCCTAAACACCCTATATGTCGAATCCTTTAAGGGAATTTCCAAGGATCATTCTCTTTTACAATACATTTTCCTCACTTAATTTAACAACTACACGTACATAAATATATATATATATACCAAGTTCCAATTTAATTTTTGGGAATCTCAAGCTCTTTAAATCCTTCAAGGACGAAACATCAAGGGTATGTTTCAAAGGATTTTCTTTCAAATTTAACATTCTTACTAACTCATCAAATTTCCTCTTATTCAAGCACATTAAACCTTCCCAATACATACAATAAATCTTTGTGCATCACCCCTAATTACCCTATCAAGGCCGAAATCTAGGGTATGTCACCATGGGATTTTTTTTCCAATTTTTTTAATTACATGTTGATGCTTACTTTAACATATAACTTCCTAAACAACAACAAACCATTATCAATTTCAATTTCTAAAATCAATTATTCCCTACCCACACATGCTCATAGATTTCATGACTTAATTCATCAAAATAATATCATGGAAGTAGAGGTTTCTTACCTCTAAACACTTGTACAAAGCCTAGAGAGCAATCTCCAAGCCAAACTTCATCAAAACTCACTTTTTCTCCTCCAATGAATAGTAACTCGAAAATGAGAGGAGGAATAACTCTTCACACACTCAACTATAGCTCAAATGGATAGGTGCAATGGATTCGTTGAGTAGTTCCTAATCGATTTCATGTGGTGGGTCATTAGATTTGGTGGAAGATTCAAAGAGAATCAACAAAATCAAAAACAAACCCTAACCCCCCCCTTTTTCCTGGTGCAGCTCGGTTTTGGAGTGAGGAGAGGAGAGAGAATTTTATTTGGAAATGAGGCTTAAGTGACTTAAAAAGGTGAGCACATGTGGCCTTTTTTAACAGATGTTTTTCTATCGCGTATTTTAACTTAAATTGACCCGGAACTAACTTAAAACTACGAACATATTTTTATTTTTCTAAAATCATGTACATTAATTTTTTATCTGTTACAAAACAATATTCATAATTCACAGTATGGTTTCTGCACCGTTTTTGACGAAATGCACTGTGAATCACTAATTGTACTTTATTTACTTTTAAAACTTAACACTTATAAACTTATCATTTTCTTGGGCCTATATTGACTTGCTTGGCATATATTGGACTTTCTTATTCTTATTTCATCAATTATTTATTTCTGGACTCTACCGGTTGCTTAAACAGCAGTACAAAATACCCGGTAGAAACACTATTCACGAGATTTTCACGGAAAGTGCCAGACTATCCAATTTTTCGTTCTGAACTCATATTTGTCATCAGAATTTTCAAATTATGTTCCTAAAATTATTTTGCTCATTTTAAGCTCTACCGGTTAATTCACAAAACTGTAAATTCTCCGGCAGAACGCACTGTTCATAACATAGTCATGATTACAGTCAAAATACTCGAAATCGCTCACTGAATCTAATTATGGCATTTAAATCCTTAAATTAAATCTCTAACTAAGATTTATCAGTTAGGGTCATTATATTCACCCCACCTTTTAAGGATTTTGCCCACAAAATCAAATATCAAATATACATATACCTGACATCAAACTCAGGATATCGCTGGAGAATTTCATTCTCCCGCTCCCAAGTGGCGTCCTCAGGAGTCAATCCTTCCCATTGTACTTTGATCATGGGAATAGTCCTGTTTCTCAACACTTTTTCATCACGTGCTAGAACCTTAAACGGTCCCACAACAAACTTCAAGTCTTTTCTTACTTCGATATTGTCCGGCTGTACAATGTGGGATTCATCCGGCACGTATTTTCGAAGTTGACTGATGTGAAAAACACTATGCAAATTTGACAGATGTGGAGGTAAGGCAAGCTGATAAGCCACAGGTCCGACCCTTTTCATAATCTGGTAGGGCCCAATGAACCTAGGACTCAACTTCCTCACTCCTAGAGCACGCCCAACACCCGTAGTCGGAGACAAACGGATAAATACATGATCCCCTTCTGAAAATTCAAGGGGTCTATGCTTTGCATCATAATAACTCTTTTGGCGACTCTGTGCTTTCTTCAATCGATCCTTAATCATCATAATTTGATCGGTAGTCTCTTGGACCATATCAGGCCCAAATAACTGCCTCTCTCCAATTTCTGACCAACAAGTAGGCGCCCTGCACCTACGGCCATACAAAGCTTCATACGGAGCCATGCCCAAACTGGCATGATAACTATTATTGTAGGAAAATTCCACTAGAGGAAGATATTTATCCCATGCATTTCCC